TTGGTCAAAAATGTCGCATTTCACCCAATCACCAAAAACTCATCGGATATCGACGAAGCTCGACGCCGCGGTCACGCCCAAAGTTGTTTCACTTTCCAAATCGTTTTTTTTCGAAAGATATCACGAAAAACAAGATTGTGAATATTTGCCCGAACGGACCATAGGTAGACTTTGTTTGCGATTGCGTCGAATTTATTTTAGTTTGGAGGGTTCGGTTGAGTTTCATTGCGATTGCTACGATTGATGCTTATGTTATGCCTGGAGCTATCCGCAATTGTCGGATGACAGAATGTCGTAAGATGACAATAAGCTTTTCTTCTGCTACATCTGATCGCTACTACCACCCCTGTCTGCTCTTCTGTGCCCATACCCAACGCCAACAACATCAATGGAATTGTCCTGGCCGGACACCTGTTGCTGTACTATACAAACGGCTGAGTAGCATGCGTTTCAACACCAGAGAACAAAAACCCTGCTGTTGCTTTTGTGGAAAATCCAACGAGCCGGATTACCTAGCCAAAAGAGGTGCAGATTTTTCAAGAAGGCGTTGATGGATGCTGCCCACAACAGTTCGATCAACATGGTCGACGAACAGTTACACTTGACGATTATTTTCGACCGCCAGGAACCGAGCGCAGACAAGGGACCGGAACTTGAATGTCTCACCAATAGTCACCGCCGCTCCTTTCCGATGACACGCCCCCAAGACCCCAACCCCAATGCTCCGGGTACCACTCCCCCGCTATCCTGTCCTCCTGTCTCCTTTGGTAGCGCATTGCCGGGGCGATCCTACTCCGATCATCAGCGGCTCTACCGGTGGCTCCGTAACTGGTCGACCGGACAGACAGATACAGAGCAATAATTTTGAGACTTCATGGGAGCAAGCCTTCGGGGAGAACGTGCTGACAATATCTTGTTCCCCTCAAAATGTGGAAACGCTTGTTCGAGTACGGTGCCGAAAAAGTTCATTGGAACATCGTGCATTTTCGTAAGGGACGCCCTCTCTGATTTATTTCCTTGCGTGTTTCGATTTATCTCAAAACTGATAAGTCAGAGTTTGTTTGAAGAAAAGTGACGTATAGAGAAGAGAGCTACAGAAATGCAACGCGTAGGAAACACGTAGGAGATCTCTCATGACCTGTGCGATGACTCCGATACGTGCGATGACTCAAATTCACGTGTCTTTTATCCACAGTTCGATGGTTCTTCGGTATTGGATGGCTCCGCCGTGGCAGATGATGCAGCTTCATCACGTATATTCTTGCCAGAAACTCTACCCGGCCGCTTTATCTTCCCGATCCCTTTTATAAGCTCTCCTTGGATGGTATCCAAATACTGGACGTAGGGGCGAGCGTGGAGGAGCTGAAGGAGGGGTGGGGTCGGGGATAGGGGATAGGGGTGGGTAGAGGGAATGCGGAAGTATAGATGACCCCATACGATTGGTTGGAAAACACGGCCGTTTTGGTCCGTTTTGTCCAAAAACGGGGCGTATTCGCTCCGAAACAAGCCAATGTAGCACCAACGCTACTGTTTTACATTTTCCGGACTTCTCGTAAGAGTTTGTTATTCACGTAGACGCATCTGAAGTGGGAGCAGGAGCATTTCTGACACAACAGAATGGCGATGACGTGAATATCGTAGCATACTTTAGCCAGCGATCCAACAAAAGCCAACAACACTACTCTGCCAGCCACCATGAAAGAATGCTATGTTGTTGTTCTTGCAATTCAACACTGGCGTCCTTTTTTATGGGGTAGACATTTTGCGTGCGTAACTGATCATGCGGCATTGCGATATCTTTATACGATGCAAGACACGTCAAATATGCTCCTCACTAGATGGGCAATAGCACTGCAATCCTTTGATTTCACGGTAAAACATAAACAAACCGGGAAAGTTGCATGTAGTGCCGGATACGTTATCGCGACTTTTCGTGTGCGATAATGAATAAGAACGAACTGCGCCGACCCTTGCACCGATTTGCCGTAGTATACGGGATGATCCAAAGTTGCAACAACACATGCCAAACAGATCATACCAAGCCTCGACTGACAAATTGGATGATGTGCAGCCAGTCCTTAGTGATCAGGATTATTCACAGTCAATTCAAATTTCGTCAGCGCCACGAAAGTATTTGAATCTGTCGATCATGAGAAATTGCGCGAGAAACAAGTCGAAGAATATGGCGAGTACGTCCAATACATTTTAGACGCCAATGCACCGCTTCCAGACAACGAAACGGCAACATCAATGTCGTAATCTTCCATACAAGACGGTTTACTGTTAAACTCGTATCTTCCAGGACACCCACGAAAACGAAGCACTTTTAGTGATCAACTTGTAGTCCTACATGACCTCACCGGTTTAGTGATGCACGCATACCATGTTCACGCTCTTTCAGGTGGACACCTGGCATTTCGTCCAACGTACGAAAAAATACGAGAAAAATATTGGTGGCAGTCAATGAACCTGACATCCGGACTTGGTGTTTAGAATGCCAGGCCTGTCAACGGAGAAAGACACCTCACCGCCGTCCAAAACTGCCGACGGGTCACGTACCTGTACAGCGGCCATTTGAAAGAGTATCGGTCGATCTGGTCGAGTACAAATCACTCTCAATGTCAGCAGCCGAGATGTAAATACGTGCTTTCCATGATGATGGTCCACTTGACGCGTTATGCAATTCTCACACCAGTTCCAAACAAAACTAGCTGCTGAAACCGTAGCACGTGTAATCATTGATCGGATTATCAGTATCTTTGGCCCGCCTGAAATGCTGCTCTCTGATCAAGGCACTCAATTCGAAAACAAGATGATCTATTAGTTGCAAACAATTCTGGGCTACAAGAAAACACGCACGACGCCGTATCGTCCGCAAGGTAATTCGGTCGCTGAGCGTGTGCATTCAACGATGCATTCCATGCTCGCAATGCATAGCTCCATGAATCGTGACAACTGGGCGGATCTTCTGCCAATGGTTCAACTAGCGTATAATACGTCGTGAAATAAGACCATGCATGAGACACCGAACTTCTTGATGTTTGGTCGCCAAGCACGGTTACCGGTAGGTGTAATTCTCGGAATCCCACATGTAGGATCAACTGTAGATATCGAGAGTTTTCCTAAAAAAACACGAGAAAATGTACAAATTGCTTTCGAGCTAGCGCGAAGAAACCTCACGGAACGTGCAGAGAAGCAAGCTGCAAAAAACGAAAAGTTTCCGCAGTACCCCGTCTTTTAACCTGGTCAACAAGTAAGTACTCGTATACCGACCGCACCAGGATTCAGATAGACCAAATCCGAAGCTGTTCTTACCTTGCCGAGGACCGTATGTATGCCATCTGCTCACAACTGTCGCCAGTTGTGCATAGGGTGAAGCGAGTCAATGAAAGACGAGAAATATCCGTGCATCTTGCCCATCTAAAACAGCAGCAATGAAAGGGAAATACCACCAGCACCACAGTTTGGAAAACTGGCTGAATACAATTGCACACGTCGGATAGATCATGATCTACATGATCTGTGGTCTATAGATCAAGCGTTGGAAGTATCATTGATTATCTGCGAATTATAGATCAAGAGCACGCAGGTATCATCGATGATCTATGGATTATATAGATCAAGAGCGGCAGATATGTTCGGAGCAATCTGTGGCTATAGATCAAGAGTTGGACATATCACAGATGATCTATTGATTATAGATCAAGAGCGGCAGATGTGTTCGGATCAATCTGTGTCTATAGACTAGATCAAGAATGGGAAATATCACAGATGATCCATGGGTTTTAGATCAAAAGTCGGAAATATCACGGATGATCTGTGGATTTATAGATGATCAAGAGCGACAACACGTTCGGATCAACATATATAATGTGTCCGAATCTCTGGATCAACACTTGAATGTCACAGACAATCTGTGGTCCTGTAGCCTACAGATGGAAGAGCCAAAACAATATGGATCCGAAGGGTCCGAAAGTCAATAGAAGTTCACGACAGATAGTCTTATACTATCAAAAAAGGCGAGTCGTCCGAGGGCTAGGGCTCCCATCACCGGTCGAAGGGCTTGGGCTCCCATCACCGGTCACAGGGATAACCTTTTGGTCTGCAGCCGAGGCGGCTGCCGCCACTCATGTCTGCCATCCTAGGCGCGCGTGGCCTCTCGCGTGTGTGGGAGCTGTGTGGTGTGTGTACAATTGTACTTCCTTGGGAAACAAATTCCCCCACCTGCCCTGACAGCAAACAAACGACGAAAATCAACCGAAAATTGAAAGATACGTCGTACTGAAAGTGGTCGGGCATCGAAGCGGTCAAGGCCGAAAAGGTCCGCACAACTATCGATATCGTCAAGCATGAAAGGATATGGTCCTGAATCAGATCTGATGTATCGAGCCGACGAAGTGCCGCAATGGCACGAAACGATTTCCGCACACCGATCAAAACATGATCTGGACATCGCGCCCGCCAAGAAATCGTCCGAAGTGCCGCAAAAAACAGCGAGACAAAAACGCGAAGAAGGTAGGGATCCGAGAACAAACAAACGCGCAAAGCACAAAGCAAGGCCAGACACGTTGTGTCCCAAGCCAGCAAAATGCGTGAATAAGAAAAGTACTCAGCGGAAAAGTAAACGAAGTCCGAAGGCAAACAAAAGATATAGTCTATTTCCAATGTACCTAAACGGTGAAAGGAATAGCATCCAAACAAAAACGTTGCTATCCAGCGTTTGGTTGGGTTAAATGCTGGCGAGGAAATGTCAACTTAACCGGTCTCACGTGGAATTGAGGGTCGCAACTCGATGATACTAATCATGAGTCACGAAAACAGTCCTAAGACTGTCGAACACCGTGTTCGTGTGTCTGGATACGAGCATGGTAGATCTGCTAAATAGCAGCACGGGGGGGTACGTAGACAGGATCATGAGTATGCCTGAAAAAGGCTACTATGTGTGGGCCCCCTTCCCCGAATTCGGGAGGGCCACTTCTTCCCTTCCTTTCCTCGCTCCCGCGGGTGCCTAATCAGAGAGAGTTAAAGGTTGTCTTCTCCTCCCAAGTACGGACATACCAACACACCGTGTGCCTATCGTACTCAATAAGCAACACGATTGCTTACACCAAGCTGTATGGTTACGCGAAGCAGAACCCGCACAAAGTACAAGTTCTTGATACTTAACAAGAATAAGCTTTGACACATCATTGATTGACATCAATACCTGGTAGCTTGTACGAGCCTTGGAGAGATTAAATCCGTACGGTGTTGTTTCCAACACGTGTGTATTCCGCACGGCACTGTCAGCTGTATTCGGATAGCGAGGGAGAGATTTAATTTTCGAAGAGCTGTATCTGGATCCAATGATACATCCATCCATACCTGCTCCACTACAAGAAACATGCATACATTCATGTGCGCCAAAACCCAACTTTAACAAGCTGAGCTTTCGGCGAAGAAAAAGGGGGGCTATGTGGAGGTCGGGATATGGAGATTCAGGGAGCACAGATACACGTAAATGATGAGTAGGATCTGAGGGAATATGTGATAATAGATTACTGTTCTCCGAGGGTCCACAACTCTTGTGATTCCCAACGGCTACGAAGAGTCGATGGATCTTTAGGAGGGAAAATGTGTCCACCAAGGCTCGCCCACTCTCCGCACCACCCTAGCTTGACTGAGTTCGCTCGGTCACGCTTGGCGTTCCTCGCCACATTGTACCAAAGGAAATAGCCAACCTCCGGTGGCAGGACATAGCCACCACAAACCCGGACTCTCCGCTCACCCAGAGTAGAGGGCTCCAGAGTAGTATCAATTGCTTGGCTTCCCCTATAGTTTGTTCAGTTGAGAGCTGCGATCGACCGCCGTTGCACCCACGTAGTTGTTTTACGCTAGCACGGTGTGCACCGGTATCTACATAGAGAGGGAACAGCGAACTGCCGGAGCTGTTTCGATACGCCGCTCAACCTGTTGACTAGATGAGGCGGGGAGTGCTATCACAGGAGGGGGAAGCAAGGCAACAGTCCAGGACATTGGCTAGACTGACGGCGGATCCAGCGTGACCTATTGTAGTCATCATCTGTCGCGAGTATTGAAACGGTTGGATGTATGCCGCCTTCCTCGAAGCTTGTTCCCCTTGTTGGAATACAAGGCTACGTCTACCTGCTGGGACGAGGGGAAACACCGCCGCCTCAGGTCAGTTATTATTGCGCCCCTTTCCCGGTGTGATGGTCGTGTGATTGGTTCTCGGGTGTACTGAAGGCTCGTCTAACTCTCCACACCACCCTATAGCTATTGACTGAGTTCGCTCGGTCCCGCTCGGCACCCCTCGCCACATTGCACCAAAGGAAATAGCCAGCCTCCGGCGGAAGGCCATATGGCCACAACACTCCGGACCCTCCGCTCACCCAGAGTTGAGGGCTTCATACTCTTCGGTGCCTTGGTTGGAGTGCAGCATTTCCAACGGGCCAAAGATGTGGACAATCCGATCAATGATGGCACGAACTCGTGGAGCTTCTAGTCTAATGGTGTGGCGGGCGTATCGAACGCGGGCAATCACGCACAGAAAATGGTGAAGGAAGCGAATCAACTCCCCACTGGCCGGTCGGGTTCCGACAACCCCCAATATCTAAAAGCCTTCGTGTCTAGCAGCCAAGAACATTTGACAGGGGGGGGGGGTNGGGGGGGGGGGGGGGGGTACTCATAATCGTGCATGCCGAAGTCGTTTGACCATCTCTACAAAGCCGGGACGGAGCACGCCGGGTTCTGACCGCACCAGGCTCTCTCGACAGGGGGGGTGAGTAATGTAGAGATCCCTTCATGAGGGTACGACCTCCCAAACGTCTGTCGAGGACGGTTCCCTCTTTTCATACACAAGTCGTTTTCTTGGGCATAAGGGAAACCCAACAGTTGAAGTTTTTCTAGCATACGAAAGAAGCTAACAGCTGATTATTGTACCACAAACAATAGGAGACGTTGTGTAGTTTTTCATTTTTTCTGCTCCCCAGACAGACTCGGCCAGAAAAGTAGCAGAGAGTATCCACTCGCCCCAGCATCTCGTCCCGAGCAACAAGAACAACTAGGTGAAACAACTTCACACTACTGCTGTAAGCGAAGCAATTTCGCCAGCAAATCTTCTAAGTAAATCTGACGCGCAGCGGGCTCGGGAATGCCTCGGGAAGCTCGTCAGCTGTCTGAAAAGCACGAAAACAATAGCGGGCACGTGCATTCGTGGGGGGGGTGGTCATGGGTGTTCTCATATGATTGGTCTCGTGGTTGTACGAGCGCTGTCATAGCCTGGAAACCACTGATCGAGTATTATCTATTTCCTTGAGGCGCAAGGTTTGTAGACCGACCTAACTTTCAAGTGAGGCCTGTGCCCAATGCGAGACCCGCGGTTGCAAGGTATCATGGTACAATTATGGTATCCCGGACAAATACCGCGTATTTACGGCCGTGAACAACTTCATGTACACATATGTGTTGTTGTTTAGTGAATGAAGGCATCCCACCTCCACATATGACTGCTGTCATTGGAACATCACGGCAGGATGCTGTTAATCATCAGTCTCAATTGGGATACACATGCACTTTTAGCCTTCTAGCCCGTAACCACTAGTGTTCTGGCTCTCTCGCCTCCGATCTTACATCACANTGTTGTTGTTTAGTGAATGAAGGCATCCCACCTCCACATATGACTGCTGTCATTGGAACATCACGGCAGGATGCTGTTAATCATCAGTCTCAATTGGGATACACATGCACTTTTAGCCTTCTAGCCCGTAACCACTAGTGTTCTGGCTCTCTCGCCTCCGATCTTACATCACACTATTTTCTCATGTACACAAAAAAACGGGCCCGAGGAAAGCCAACGACAACAAATATTCTTCCCGTATTCGCTCACAAGCACAAACCAAAAGTTGTGTGCACGGGAATCTCACATTCGTGGCGTCTACAACCCTGTGCACACACGTAAGTCTCATACATATTGCACGGAAATTGCGGGTGAGCGACGGTTAACAAACGGTGTGACGGACCAAAAAAAAGGCATCATCACACGCATACGTGCCTTACAGGCGGCTCGGAAAACAACGAGACCGATCATGTAGCTGGACTAGAGCTACAGTATTGTAGCTCTTGGAACTTTTTGTCAGGTCAAGGATGAAAGCCCCAGCCACAACGCGGCCTCCGTATGTTGAACCCTGCTCTTGTATGCACGTACCTCACGGACAGCTTCGTACACCTTCATCTCTTCGTCCGTCAAGAGACAGCCATCCAGTGCTTTCACGATGGGCCCTCTGGTGGATTCCTCGCACATCCCCATGCCGATAAACACCAACTCTTGTCGACGGTCCCCGTACTTGCCCTTGGAAAACACGTTGAAAAAAAAACAAAAACGCAGACACAATGAAAGGAGCGAGAATGTAAGCGTATTCACAAGTAGCACAAAACAGCGGATACAATTTGGTAAACGAAGCACCTGACATGGAAGCACACGAGAAAAACAGAATAAATGAGGAACAGCATGGATCAAGCAACGCAGGCGAGGCGGAACACGTATCATCTACAATCGCGCTCTTGCCAAGGAGGAGAAATATATCATCGAAGTGCCACGTTCTTTAGAGAGAAATAAAGTTTGAAGATACAGGATATATATTTGGAAGAGGAGTTGAGGGCATGAGGCTAGATACCAGCCTCTGAGATTTGCCAAAGATCAGGGCGGTCCGACACACAATCAAACAGATAATTCTTGTCACCTAGGACACGAATGCAACAAGCAAGCAACAGCAACATCGACAACGAAGAAAAGGCTCTGGACAGACGATCCGCTCGGCTATGTGAATCGTGTGTGTCTTATTTACTGGCATCGACCGCGCTAACCGGCTGACCAATGAAAAGACGCCAGTCTCAGTGCGGCGGAAAACAAAAAACGCTTGTATAGGCCACAAATCGTGTTTGCGTGTGTTCGCCCCATCTACCTGTTCTGGCGTCAGTCTACACGCCTTTCGGTGTACTATTTTATTTATATGTATGACATATCACCGGGGGTCACATGGGAGAATGGAAGGCCACACACAGAGCGCTTTTTCCTAGTGTGTTATCAAGAAGCGAAAAAAAGAAGTAAGAGAAAAGTGAATCAATCAAATCACCTCGAAATCCTCCATCACGGCTTCCGCAGAACCTGGTGGCCACAGCTCGCGCTCCAAGCTATCCCACCACCGACCGAGACACAATACCTCAAAGCTCGCCCCTGCAATCCATGCAACGAACGCCAGCGTAAGATAAAAGGAAGAACGATTTAGCGAACAGGCGGCCAGAACTCCGTGAAACTAAAACATGTGCCCTGTTATTGGTGCATCGTTAAGTCAAGCACCAACGCTAGTAGCTACTGGGGGGAGCGGCTCTGAACCACAACACAGAAAAAAAGAAAGCGAAATACAGTCTACTATAATAGGGGTTCTGGCTACGGAAATCCAAATCTTGGGGGGGGGGGGG